TATACATTTTTCGCAAAATACTATAGTCCAGTTTATCTGATATGAGATTATTATTACTCTATGAATTTCATGTCAAAATATCATATTTTGTAGACCGAAGCTGAGTTATTGGCCGAGAAAAAATGTGTGGCTCACCTAACAGGCGAGGTAAATATCAAAGCCTGAATTGCGGCCGTTGACCATTTAAAGAAAAAACTACATATTTGTGATATTTGCTTCGATCTAAACATTTATATTATATCTTATCAGGGCATTGCTGTTTGTGATCTTCCTGGTGATACCATGCTTCCAGGAGAAATGTAACAAGATAATATTCTGAATGTCAAAGCAGATTTGGAAGTAAGATCATACAAATTGATGTAGAATATCGACGAGTGCTAGTAATACTCTTTTTCAACCCTTATTTTTAATACTCATTCTCTTACTCAATGAAAAACTGTATTAGAGTGAGAGTTGAAAAGAGAGGATTCCTTGCCGTTCGAGAGAAATAATATAAATTTCAAAACATTCATTTGACTTTAAAACCTTAGAGCTCTTCAACAATGTAATAAGTGGAATTTTGTAAACCTATTTCTAGTAATCAAGCTTGAGATGGATCGGTATAAATTAAAGTTGGAATACAATTTATGTGTTTTAAGCAAACTGATATAACCCAGAAAATTATGATGAAACCTCTGTATTACTACAAATGGTTGAGCTTAAAACTCTTACACTGGTTAATAAAACAGAAAACTAAACCAAAGTTCCAAGAACTCCTAAAATAGAGCAGAATTGCTTCTAAACCAGAAAGTATCTCTTGTAACAAAATTTGTTACGAACTTTCTAGTTTCATTACTCATTTCCCTTCCTTCCTTTTCCTTCCTTTTATAATAGAACTAGTTATAGACCTGTGTTCTTGCACGGGTGAATTTATTATGATATTGTAGAAATAATTTTTTTTAGATATACATAGAAAAAACTTATTTTTATTAGGAAAGTACAATGAAAAATTATGAAATTAAAATATTACAACAAATAATATGATTAAGCAAAATATAATTGTAAATTTGACAAAGGATGTATTTAGATACACATGTGAATTTAAATTGAATTACAAAATTGTAAAATGAACAATTATTATATAAACTCAATTGTATTAAATAATTAAAAAAATTGTTGTATGAAGAAAGAAAAAAAAATTTAAAAATAAGAATTTTGTCTTCAATAATAATTTGATAGTGATCCATAAGATAAAAAATTAGGTGTGTGAATGAATATGTAGTATTATTCAATTTGATAAAGAAAAATTAAATTTATATATAGAGTTAATTTATTTAGACATTATAAAAAAATCAATACTGATAATGTGGCCACTATAAAAGCGCTTTCAGACATAACGTAAATTTATTTGATTAGATATAAAATATATTAAAATTTATACGTAAATTTTAAATTAATTATTTAATTGTAAAATATACAATAATTATATAAATTAAATTATATTAAATCATTTTACAAATAGAAAAAAAAAACATCAATGAGATGGAAAAAGAAAGAAATTTTTTTTTTTGACATTTGAAAATAAAAACAGTCATTCAAATAAAGATAAATATTGATTAAAACAAATTAGAAATTATGTTGATAATGACCCATTAAATAAAATATACTAAAGTTGAAGTATGATAGTCCTTAATCACATTAAATAATAATATACTTTGAACACGATGTCACACACATTAAGCACTTAAGATTAACATTAGTCAAACTCACACTATAGTAACTCAAATCGAAGAAAAAATAGATTATGTGACACCAAACAAAAATACTACATATTATACCAATAAAATGGTGATATAGAATTTGTTGAGAATCAAGTGTGAGGAAGAAGTCTCACATTGATTATAAAAGGGAAGATTGAGCACTTATATATGAGAGAACCCATTCATCTATAACCTTAAGGTTTTAGATGGACAAGTGGTGTGTCTCTCACAAAGGTGTGTCCCAAGTAAAATGCTCTCTCCTCGGAATTGCCCCTACAGTGGTATCATGAGCCTTTGGTTTCGAGATAGGGACTGGCTTACTTGTACCGAGCGATGGTACAAGTGTATGTGGAAAAGAGTCATTCCACATGAGGGGGAGCATTGTGACTCACACTTGAGGGGGAGTGTTGAGAATCAAGTGTGAGGAAGAAGTCCCACATTGATTATCGGAATTGCCCCTACAGTGGTATCAAGAGCTTTTGTTTCGATTCAAGGGAAGTGTCAATCGAAGATAAGTTGATGAGAGTCGTTGATGCAAATGGGAGATTAATCTTGAAGGCTCCTATGTCTCAGAATCGAACCTTCAAGATTGAACTAAATGTGATGGAGCACAAGTGCCTTTCGACTGCAGCTAGCAGAGATGAATGGATATGACATTATAGACTAGGTCATCTCAACTTCAGAGACATCAGAGATTTGAAGAAAAGAAATATGGTTTCAGGATTGCCTGAAATTGACATTCCAAGCGAAGTATGTGAAGAATGTGTGCAGGCGAAGCAACACAAGAATAGCTTCAGCAAGGATGCAGGAAGCAAATCGAAGGCTAGTCTTGAAGTCATATACTCTGATGTATGTGGACCAATCCAGGTGGATTCGATGGGAGGTAACAAATACTTTGTTACATTCATAGATGATTTCAGTCGAAAGTTATGGACTTACCTGATCAAGAAGAAAAGTGAAGTGATCGAAGTATTTACCAGGTTTAAGTCTATGGTCGAAAGACAAAGTGGTCGAAAGCTCAAAGTTTTGAGAACTGATGGTGGATGAGAATATGTGTCGAAAGACTTCGACAGATTATGTGAAAAGGAATGGATTGTGCATGAGGTGGTGCCACCCTATACTCCACAGAAAAATGGAATCGCAGAAAGGAAAAAATCGAACCATCATGAATATGGTGAGAAGTATGTTGAAAGGCAAGAGTTTACCTAAAGAGTTCTGGGGTGAAGCTGTTTCGACTGCAACATACATTTTGAACAGATGTCCTACAAAGAAGCTAGAAGGAATTACTCCAGAAGAATGTTGGTCTGGTGTGAAACCTAGCTTGAGCCATCTGAAGGTATTTGGATCTATTGCACATAGACATGTGCCAGATCAGTTGAGAAGAAAACTTGATGATAAGTCAAGTCAAATGATTCTAGTTGGATATCATTCGACATGAGGCTACAAGTTGTTTGATCCAGAGAACAAGAAGATTGTGATCAGCAGGGACGTGATCATAGATGAGTTTAAAGAATGGGATTGGACTGCAAATGTCAAGAAAGATTCAGTGGGAATCCTATTCGAAGAGCCAGAAACTCAAGTCGAAAGAGAAGTTCGACAAGAGGAACCAGCAGATATACCAAGTACAAGCAGACCTCAAAGAACAAGACGCATGCCTGCAAGATTGCAAGATTGTGTGATTACATCAGATGATGTAATAGATAATGAAGGTGAGCTGGTACATTATGCTTTCTATGCAGATGTCGAACATGTTAATGCAGCTGAAGCATTAAAAGATTTGAAGTGGGTGAAAGCAATGAACGAAGAAGTAAAATCTATCGAAGACAACAACACTTGGTCACTTGTCGAATTGCCTCAAGGCAAGAAGGCAATTGATGTCAAGTGGGTATACAAAGTGAAAACGAATTCGAAAGGTGAAGTAACTCGACACAAAGCAAGACTTGTGGCGAAAGGATTTCTACAGAAAGAAGGAATAGACTTCGACGAAGTTTTTGCACCTGTTGCTAGGATCGAAACAATCAGGTTGGTTGTTGGTCTAGCAGAAATAAACAGTTGGCACATATGTCAGATGGACGTGAAGTGTGCATTCCTAAATGGACCCTTAGATGAAGAAGTCTATGTTAAACAACCAGTTGGGTTTGTGAAACATGACGAAGAAAGAAAGGTGTACAGGCTATATAAAGCCCTGTATGGATTGAAACAAGCTCCAAGGGCTTGGAATAAGAAAATTGATAGTTTTCTAAGGGAGAAGGAATTTGTGAAGTGCATAACTGAACATGGAGTATATGTAAGAAGAAGCAAGAGTAAATTGCTTATACTATGTCTCTATGTAGATGATTTGTTGATAACAGGTAGCTGTAAAAGTGAGATCGAAGACTTCAAAGGTGATCTCAGCAAGGAATTCGAAATGTCTGATTTGGGTGAGATTTCATATTTCCTTAGTATCGAATTCTACAAGAGCAGTAGAGGTTTGATGATGCATCAAAGAAGATATGCAGGAGAAATTCTCAAGAGGTTTGAGATGGAAGAATGCAACTCAACTTCGACACCTGCAGAACCAAGACTGCAACTGTCGAAAGATGCAGATGAAGATGATGTTGATCCAACCCAATACAGAAGACTTATTGGATCATTAAGATATCTTTGTCATACAAGGCCTAACTTAGCATACAGTGTAGGTATGGTAAGTAGATTTATGCAGAAGCCAAAGGTATCACATCTAGCAGCAGTGAAGAGGATACTAAGGTATCTCAAAGGAACTTTCGATTATGGCATTTTATTTCCTGCAGTTGATAAAGGAAAAGAATGCAAGTTAGTGGGATACACTGATTCGAGTTGGTGTAGTGATGTTGAAGATCGAAAGTCAACAGCAGGATATGTGTTTATGCTAGGTGGTGCACCAATTGCTTGGAATTCAAGAAAGGAACCAGTAGTGGCATTATCATCATGCGAAGCAGAATACATAGCTGCTTCTCTTTGTGCATGTCAAGCAACTTGGATGGTGAACTTGGTCGAAGAGATAACAGGGAAAAATCATGGAGCAATTACCATGAAGATAGACAACATGTCAGCTATTAATCTGGCAAAGAACCCAATAGCACATGGTCGAAGTAAGCACATTGAAATGAGGTTCCATTATCTTCGAGAGCAGGTAGCAGATGGGAAGATGAATTTGGAACACTGCAGAACTGAGAATCAGATTGCAGACATCATGACAAAGGGAGTGCAAGTCGAAGTATTCAGAAAGCTAAGGGCCATGATGAACATAGACAGTTTATACACAATGAATTAGGTGGTGTGTTAAATTGTAATTCATATGTGTCAAAGAAGATTTGATTTGTTTTAGATTTAAATAGATTTGATTTAAGTCTAGAATAGATTTGATTAGATTTGATTTAGTAACAAAAAAATATTTTGGACCTTGGGCTTAGGGTGTAAGTTCAATTATAAATAGAGGGAGTAACCCCTATTTTGAAAGTAAGTCAAGAAAGTCAAGCAAGACAATTCATTGTAATCACAGAATTTGCAGTTGCAAGTGATTAAGAAAGTTTTCCACAGTTTGTG